CATAGAGAACACAGAATAATTTCGTTTAGCCGTTTTATTTCATTTTTTTATTTAAAAATATTTACCAAAGGAAAAAAATATATACATTTACGTTTTTGAGTACGTTTAGGCCAGCAGAGAAGGCTTTGCTGGCCCTGACTGCCCACCACTGACCAATTCTTTCTGTAAGCTCCAACATCATCTAGCCTGCTTCAGCACGGTCCCAAACTGTTTGCCCCTGTCTCCATCCAACACAGTAGTCTTGTCTTGTCTTGTACACTAGTGGGTTCATTCTGTAAATGTAAACCAAATTAAATTTCTGCACAGAACAAAACGAATGTTAGATGCAACATGAAATATTACATAAAAGCTGTTACATAAATCTGGACCGCTACTGTTAAGGATTCCTTCTCGAGTTCCTTGTACCACAATCCTCCAGTGAGTTTTTTTCTTCTGCAGACCAGCTTTTGACAGATGGAAATGAGAGCTTTCACAGAAATCCCTCTGTCTTCAGTGTCTTTTGAGGCATGAACTCTTGCAGCTCAGTCTGGCTGTGATGTAAAGTAAAGCAGTAACAGCTGTGGGTCTCCGGGGACAAAGCTGCTACGCTCATCGCTGCATCCTGTTCCTGCTGAGACCAAGGTTCGGTTAAAACAACAGGCACGAATGTTTGAAAGTCGCCACAAATGTTAGTTTTTAAATAAACTGACGGTCAGAGCTAAACATTGCTAAACTTACTTTTAAAATATGTGATATTATTTGTCAGGAACACACAAAATTTGTGCAAATGACTAAACTTACCACTTGTACCCAAACAAATTTTCATTTATTTTTATTTTCAGCCGTTGTAAACAGCTTATATTCAGTGACTTAATGATCCTCTTGGAAACCACCTTTCTACAGCAGCCAACGAGCCAGCTCCTAACTAAATATATCAGGGACAAACTTAGAGTCTGGAAAGTTTTAACTACTGAAACTACTTTGGGTCTAAAACGAACAGCTGAGCTGCGAGCAGCAGCTTAATGTAACTAACAGGCATGTTGGTGTGATGTTCTGCAAGACACTCAGTCTGAATGCTCCCAGTATGGATTAATATTGCATTACTTTAACTAAAAATGACAGATATGAGATTGAATTATCAATTTGAAAGTGGCCTGTTTGAAAACTCCTCTTTATTCCAGCCATGTTGCTGCGAAGGCTTTAGCTTTAACACACATCCCATAAAGGCGTGGTTCTGCTTCAGGTTGAGAATTCTTGCTCATTTTCCAAAGAAGCAGCAAAGGAAGTGCTTTGAAGGTCTCATTTGGTTTGCAAACAGTTCTAAATGCCAAGTCAAGATGTTTTACAAACCCTGTGAAGATGATTAAGAGCTTATTGTCAGATCTCCCTGAGAGAATTTACACACACAAGGAAAGATGCACATTATTGTCTATGAAAAACGACCGTCTCTTTGTGGTTTAGGCACATCTAGCTTGTCAGATGTGGTCATTTCTGTTTTGGTACTTTTCCTTATTTATGGGATTTTCAGTAGCTTTAACTAAAATTTGCTAAAGCAATTATGCACGTTTGACATATTGATCATAAATGTTGATTTAAAAATTGGAAATTTTATATTGTTTATATAAACATAATAATCTGCATGTGAGAACATCTCCATCTGCATCAGCACCAGATGATGGGACTAGTCTCACATCATCTTAACGCCGCAGACTAATTAAACAATGGAGTCTATGAACCTAAAGTTGTTTTTATTGTCCACATGTCTCCCCCCAAAGGAGACTCTTTAGTGTGGGCAGCTTTGAGTGTCGTGTTATGATGTTTTCTGTGGACAACAGCAGAGCTTGTTAAAGAGAATGACCTGCTGATAATGAGCCAACAACTTCCTCTCATATGGGTCTGCCTGCTTTATTAAGTTTGTCCAGCTGGTCTCCTCATTTCACTCTCTCTTACTTAACTCTTCTAGTTTGCTGAATTAAAAGTTTTTTATGAGCCTCTTGGAATAAACTCATCTTTGCATTTTTATGTCTCTTCTAGTGGGCTTGGTAAGTGTGTGAATGCCATCAGCGCTGAGAGGTGGGCATAAACACAAGAAGAACGGGCTTAGAGCTGATGCTACTCTGCAAAAAGCCACATAATCCACTTTGAAATCGTACTGCTTTTTAATATCTGACCTCATCTGTTACACTTGCTAGGGTTTAATCACCCTTTGCATATCCTCTCACTTGTAAAATGTGTTTTTTGCACCTCCAAAACTAAAGCAAATTAGTAGAAAAGAGTCACATAAATAATAAAAGAGCTAAAAACTGTTTCATTTCTATGAGATAGCTTAGGTATAATGGTTTTGAAGACTCGTCAGATACAAAGTGTTTCTTTGTGTGCATCCTTGTCTCAGCATAGGCTCGTGGCTCATTGTCATGCACCCCGTGGTTGTATCAGCCAGTGGTCCACACGCAGTCGCTGATGTGAGCTAAGAAGAGGGCTGAAATGAAAATTGCTGGTAACATTTCTACTGAATTTACAAAAAAGTGTATTATCTATCAAACAAGTTATGAAGTTTATCATATAGTTCATATATAAAGGGAGTATGTGACTATATACGGATGTTTTTACATTTAAATTGTGGCTTCTGTGTCTTCAGGTCAGGACATTGTTTATTTAGAGCCTTAATATTGCCTTTGACATTATAACTGTGCTGATTTTGATTGTTCACTTCACACAGATGCGTACCAGCCTTTGTTATTGTGACAATTTCTTTGTTTCTTTTGGAAACTAATGAAACGCCATAAAGTAAACAGCTCAGACTTCCGCTTTAGGCTTTTCAGTTAATTAATCAGGCTCTCACACAAAAAGCTCAAAGACATTTACAGCAAGAACCTGCAGGGTGATGAGTTTTCGTTATTTTTTAAATATGATCGGTTTCACATGCAGGTTAAACGTGAAAATGGTCTTCTACCCCTTGTTCTTGCAATAGCCACTGATAAAAAAATAGATGGAGGAAACCCTCTAATAAGAAAAGCTGTCAAATGTGCATCACATCAAAAATTTGCCTTCATGGACTCACTCAAGCAAAATGGAAGGCTGCTGATTTTGCATGCAGGAGAGAGCGGAGCACCTGTGTCGACTTGTAGAATCTAACCGTTAGCATTAACAACGCCACCACAAAGGCATCAATGTTGCGGAGTGAACAGAGTCAGTGGTAGAGTCGCTGTTACCCAATCAGAGGCGACATGTTCAAATTTCAGGAAGTGAGACTTCAAATCCTGCCGTGTTCTGCTCACTTCTGCTCTGGCTCACTCCTAGTTCCTGAAACAGGAGCGCCAGAGCTTTTTTTTTCTAAACAGATCGCCCCACAAGGCGTTCATTTATGCTAGAGACCACTGCGAATGTGTTGAAAAAACAAGTGAACTTCGCCTTTAAACGAGTCAAAATTCAATACTGATAGTTTCCGATTTTATATTATAATACCAATTTTAGCCAATATTTCGGACAACCCAAAAACATAGCTAAAAAGTTTAGAAAATGATAGAAAATAACAAAAATAAACATCATCATACATTTTTAACACATGCATACAGTTAAGCAACTGGGCTGCAAACATTAAGGCCCTTCCACACTGGATTGAGACATAAATCTCATTTATGGGATAAATATGAGACCATGAAATAGTAACTAGGATGAATAGATTACTTTGTAGTCCTCAGTATGCAACAGTACACAGTACTGGCAATTTTAAATGTTAACGCTCAGTGAATCTGAACTTTTATCTTGCACGTGGTGCGTACTGGTATTTTTTCTATGACTTATTAATAGCCATCCATAGTGCCCCTTTCATCAGGTAATAATGATAATAATTAATAATTATTTGATTGAAAAAATGTTTAGAAAGGCATACATTTAAAAGCTATATATAAAAATCAAAGTTTTGCTTTTTAAGGTATGGTTCACTCGTTTAATCAATACATCTGCAGCGGTCTCTTGTAGGAATGAATGCCTTGTAAGTCTTCCTCTGGGGAAACGAAACTCCGGCGCACCAGTTCCAGGTACTAGAAGTACAGGATTTATTTCCTGATATTTGGACATCTCGCCCTGGATTGGCTAACAGCAGTGCAACTCTACCACTGACTCAGTTTACTTTGCAACGTTGATGTTTTATTTCCACAAATAGCACAAGTCTGCAGGAATTCGGCTGTGTGGTGGCGTTGCTATTGCTAATGGTTAGCTGACATTAGTCGGGATGTTCTCTGCTGTTTCCTGGATGCCAAACGAACAATGGCCTTCCCCGCCATGAGTCATGGGTGAGTCCATGAATGCTATGTGGCAGTGTGATGTAAATCTGTCCGGCTTTTTAAATCCTAGCGCTTCACCGTCTATTTTCTATCAGAAGCTAATGCAGGAGATTGGTGTAGAAGGCTATGTTCAGCCAGCATGCAAAAACTCAAGAGTGACCAATTATAATCAGAAATAATCATTAACAATAGTTTTTCACACCTATAAAAAGCTTGCATGTTGCGCAGATGAAATGTGTTTATTAGCATATTTTGAAACAGGAAAGCAAAGCAGATGTAAAAGCTGTTGAGCTAATTAAGTTCTGTTCAAACGAGACAGAAGTCATGACATGAATCCCAAACACCAAAGTCCAAAACTCTAGAGCTTCTCCTCAGAGGTGGTCATTTGAAATGCAGGTATGAGGTACACTTGCCTTGGGTGATCGGGGCCGTGCCGGATGCCTGGCACACACGCCTGCTCTCCAAACTCTGACCCACCTTCCAGGAGATACCAGAGCCAGACTGGCGCCTCCGTCTGCAGCTTGGCTAAACAAGACGAGCAGCCCGCTTCTCCACACTTAAGAGGTGTCTCTTGTATTTACAGCCCTCCTAACTCCCAAACACATGGCATTACATCACCGATCCCAGCTCAGACCAGCTGCAAAGGCACGGGCTCAACATACATAAAACACCCTTTAATGTCTCGTGTATTTGCACCTGCTTGACTTGCAGTTTCTTCTGCTTCGAGGGTTACCAGGAGCCTGTAGGTTGATGGTAGATTCTCAGAATATTTGTTTTGGGATGGTATGTGCTTGTAGTTTTATCGTGACAGGCGGCAGCAGCTGCTGGAGTTTGGCTGGTATGCGCTGGAGTCAAGATGTGATGATGAAACTAGCGTAACCTGATTTAACTATACAACCGTCTGTAAAGGAGTCAGAGGAAGAATCTCTGTATGGATTTTCTTGGGACTGGACATCGGAGGCATACTTCCTAAAAAAAGAAGGAAGAAACACCCTAGGACCATCTTGTGCAAGTGGGCGGAGGGTCTAAAATAAAATCAGCTGTCACTGTCTGCTCGATGGACAGAGGTGAACGCATAACACTGGAGCTGGTCTCCATCCCTGTCTGGGATTTGGGATTTTGGCTTGGATAGACCCTGCTGGAACAGCGGCCTTAAAGTGGGATTCTACTTTCTGAATTTGTTTTTTTAAATCAGCATCTTTCCTGGTAGGTAATCAACACTTTCAGAGTGCTGTTTGTCACAGATCTGCAAAGTTTGCAAACATTCGAAAAAAGATTTTGGCCTTGAGGTTCAATTTTTATGTTAATGACTTTGAATAAAGATGAATTATATCATTTGCAGGGAGACAAGATTAAAGGGCTATGTCTGAATCCTTGATACTGGCGCACGTTTTCTCATTTTAAAGGATTTGGAGGTAAAACATAAATCAAGCTGTGACTAAAATGCTAAATTGGGTGAACTTTTGGCTCGAGGAGAGATTAGATTCATTCTGTTCAGCCATTCCAAACAAAGAAAGCTATTTGTACAAAGGCCATTTCTGCTAGCTGTCAAGCAGCTTAATCTCCTCAGTGCTGGGTCACCAAACAAAAAAATCTAAAGAGTAATTGAAAATTTAGACTCAAGCAGAAGGTTATCAGCACAAGTTTTCTGAGCGCTTTTTGGAGAAAGTAAAACCTTGACCTCCCAGCTTTCCTCTGTAATTCACAGAGAAACACGACCCACCATGGTAAAGTCTAAAATAGGCTTGATTTATTTTCGCAAGTGCATGGCGCCGAGATAAATTCACTTTCTTGTTATTCGAGCTCTCAACCCAACCTGACACATCATGCGATAGCTCGAGCTTGTTGAGGGATTCGACTGAAATGCGTAGTTCCTACAAGTCATCCACAGATTTATGTGTCGGTGCAAAAATTTACTCCAAGTAGGGCAATTAGAGCGAAATTAAATAAGCTTGAATTAGTATGATTAGCGGGCTCACAACCATATAACGTTATATATTAAATCAAATTTATGGGCCTACTAGAGTATCACTGACTTTGGTTCTGTGCTGAATTTAAAGAGTTTAACAATATATTTTCTGATTAAAAATGCTAATTTCTGCCACTAATCATTTAAAGATGAGTACAGATAATTTATTGAATGAATTCTTGGTGTTTTAAAGATATTTTCTTTTTCATGTTTTGCAGGAGAAATTCCTTTTGGTATTACGGGAATATTTAGTCTTTCTCTAGACATGAGAGTCTGAATGTAAATGTCAGTTTCTGTGCATCAGCACATTTCATGTTAAATAGAACTGGGGAGTGAATACTTTAAATTCCTGGAATAGATAAATAGGGCTTGCTGCCGGTAGAATCCGCAGGGATGATCGCTCAGTTCTCTTTTCAGACAATTGAAATAAATTTGTCTTAAGGGTCAAATATTAAAGAAATACTCCATATTTGCTCTTATTTGGGAATAAAATATTATCTATGAACTGGGCAATAATAAGTGATTACCCAAAAGAACATCACAAACTTCTTAAATACTTAAAATGATCAAAAGTCTGAAGACTACTGAAGCATGCATGAATCCTTGAAGGTAAAAACTATAATTGGAGACAGCATTCACATCTTTTATGACTGACTAAATATTTACCCTCCGAATGCACGCATCAAAAATCCCTGCTGACTTTAGTTGTTTACAACCTTTTGAATGAATTCCACAAACCCTTAGAGAAACTAAATGTCAGGACACATGCAGGCGTGTGATTGATCTAAATGATGTTTCAGGGGAACATTGTGCGTGTTAGCGCCTCCTGCATCACAGCGACTCTGATATCACTCAGTTAGAGATTTTCTAACTGATAGATTGGTGCTGTTGTGCTTTTAGTTAGTAATCAGAAGCTGAATGAATTTTACATGAGTTTCTCTGTGATCATTTTAGTTTTATGACAGTGAACTGACACCGTCAGCTGTGCTTTCCCTTGAACGTGCTAATTAAACAGTAGTGTACAGAGAGCTGGCTCTTAAAAATATAGATTCAAAAACACATTTCCTCCAACTGTTGGCTTTTTGTGCCTCAGCTGCAGGCAGCACAGGTTAAACCAGGGCTGGACATCCTGAAAGTTTGAAGCCAGAGGAATCAGGATTCACTCTGCAGCCTCAGACGTCATCCCACTGGCTAACTGCGAGGCCATGTACCGGGCAGCTGTCTCCAAGCGAGCAGACAACACCATCCCCAGCGGGGTACTTTGACTTCTGCATGAATTAGCATTGCATCAATTCCAGCAACCTGAAAAAGCAACCTGCAGCAAAACCTCAACTTTTCATTGCTATTCATAGTTATCAGCTTTATTTGTTCTATTTTCGTGTGACACAAATAAAAAGGTGTTGTGTCATTGTATTCTAAATGAAATGGAATTAAACGGACATTATTGCTTGATTTATTTATAGGAGTGGCTGACTAAAAAAACAAGTTTTAATGATTATTTCTGATTATAATTGGTCGCTCTGAGTTTTTCATGCAGGCTGAACACTAGTCTACACCTATCTCCTGCGTTAGCTTCTGATACAAAATAGATGGTGAAATGCTAGGATTTGAAAATCCTCACAATGTGATGTCACACTGAGAATTTGCATTCATGGTCTCACCTATCTTGGCTCATTCCCACCCACGGGAAGGCTTTTTAAAAAGTGTTTTGCAGAGAAGAAAGAGAGCAGAGTGTGTCTATGTGATTGTGACTTTGCAACATGGCTGAACACGCTCTGTTAGCCAATCAGAAGCTAGGTGTGTGCATATCAATAATAATAATAATAATAATGAGTAATCCTGCTGTTTTCAGCCTACGTCTGCACCAGCAAACTTCTGCATCTCAGAACTGGAGCATCATAGTTTTTTTAATGACTCATAAGGCATTGAATTACACTAAAGAATACTGCAAATTAGAGCCCTGCACGGGCCTAAAATCTGAGCCCGTGTCCGGCCCGGCCCGAGGGGGTGGAGCCCCAGCCCGACCCGGTCCGAGAAGGTTTTCAGGATTCTCTGGCCCGACCCGAGCCCGACTTTTTTTTAACCTTTCATAATGTTTTAGCGTGATAGAATGCTCCGCATTCTAATTATCCGTGGGAAGCGTTCTGCAGTAAAAAAAAAACAGAAAGAAAAAGAAAAGAAAATAAAGAAAAACAGCATCAATGCAGCTTTATTTTTTCTAACAGAGCATATTTTTCGAACGGCAGATGAAATTTACGAACACTATATTAATTGGATGCGTTTGTAAATTTAATCTGCTCTGAAAATGCACTCTTGTGCAATTAGAAAAACAAGCAGCATTCTAATTTTCTAACTGCGAGCACATTTTCAGAACTTTCCCAATTAATAAAGCGTTTGTAAATTTAATCTGCCGCTCTGAAAATGCGCTCTCCAGTTAGAAAAACCCCCAGCAATGACAGCTGTATTTTTTTTTTACTGCAGAGCGAATTTATTCACAGAAAAAATAGAATGCTGCCGTTTTCATGAGAATAAACGAATGGTTTCTGACATCAAAGTGGACATAAAATGGCATATTAGAAAAGGGGCACATGTTTCAATCAGCAGTTTGAGAATTCGTTTATATGGGTGCGTTTATAAACCACACAGACCTTAACTGAGCTGACGGTGCGTGAAAAGCAGGCAGATGCTGCTGCGTTTAAGTGTTTTTTTTTTTAATGAATTTGATTAAAAATAAAGGTGCCCGGCCCGGTCCGGCCCGTGTCCGAGGTAATTACACAGTCGCTGGCCCGAAGCCCGGCCCTCGGGCCGTCGGGCTGGGTCGACCCGCGGGCCTAGGGCTTCAGTGCAGGGCTCTGCTGCAAATGTGTTAAATAAATGAGTAAACCACATGTTTAAGAAAAGCTTCCAGCAACTCTTATCACGTTCTGAAATTAATCCACAGTAGAAAAACAATTCTCCATGCAGCAGCCTGCACTGCATGCATGCCCATTCAAAAAAGGTGCAATTATCGAGCATTTGATTTCAGGTCGTGTAGAAGTGGAGGTAGATAATGATGCTTCCTGCTTCATTAGGTCATGGAGGAGTCAGACGTCTGTTCTCTGCCTGGGGGATTTGCAAGCGTGAGGAAACTATTTCAAAGCCAGGAAACGGCAACATCCCAAAATGTAACTCAGTTTCATTTCCACCACAGAACACAACAGGTACAAATTTCACAGCATTTAGCTTCGTTAGGAGCCCACAAAGTGCCTGAGAGGGATAACTGGTAACATTTTGTCAGGACCTGGGCTGGATTCTGCTCTATTCTAACATTTGGCATTCCATATTTAAATGCATGGGAATTATGCAGGTAAAAATATAAAAAACAGTGAGGTTTGCTTCTCTTGTTGCACCCGAGGCAGCATTTGTAGACTTGCAAGCCTGCAAACAGAAAGTTAAGAAAACATGATAAAATAACTTTTTATCTGCTAATTTAGCAACAAAACAGCATGAGTGAACAGATTGGAACATTCTTTGTCATTTTGCCTCCATCTGTGATCAGTCGTTTGAATGTGCAGTGAGCAATTTGGTCCAGCATCTCCTCTGCATGGCGTTCTCTTGTGCATGGCTACGTTTTGACTGGCACAGGAAATTGGACTGAAGTAAATGCAAATTAGTGGCCATAAAGAGAGTGTAAACAATGTGGGGGCTTGAGCCATTTGAGTTGTGTTCAGTGTGACGCATGTACATTTTTGGGTTTGACAAACACTCTTGTCCTCACAGGAAATGTCAACCTCAGAGGTGACGGTGTCAGGTGGCAGCAGGCAGGTCATCCCAGGCAGTCAACAGCTACATTTCCAAGAAACTATGGTATACTTTTATTCAACACATTGAGGATTATACAGCAACATTTCTTTTTTTAACATTTCCTTTTAAAACGCACACAGGTGACAAGCGGTGGCAACGCCTTGGTATCCAGTTATGAAAATGAAGCAGGTAGAAAATTATGAGAAACATTCTTACATCACCCTCATTCACCACTTATCTTCACTAGGATTGAAGAATGATTGTACCCGCTTTGCTCTTTTAAACTTGGCTTTTGTTGTTGTTGCTGTGCTTTCTTTTAGAAGAGGAGATTCCCAGGTACACCACTAAAGAGCTAAGAGATCACTTTGAAAGAACAATAGAAGAAGCTGCTTCTCAAAAACCAATGAAGGTAACTCTTTTGCCTGTGTTATTTATTATTCTGTGTCTCATCTGTGACATCTCTATGAAACAGACTGGATTTTTGGTGGTGTGGTTGTGAGTAGCTAGTGTCTAACCTGCAGCAGACGGAAGAAAAATTGGGAAGAACATTTCACAGTAAAGGGAAGCTAATAGAAGTTTGACTTCCGAAAATATTAGAATTTTTATGCTAGTTCATGTGATTGCTGCACCTCATTATTTATGCTTCACACAAGTACTCAGATCAGTATTTTGGGAACACTTTGGCAACTTTCATGAAAATACCCACTGCTTTCTTAAACATTGGATGAGAGACTCAGTGTGTTTACATGTGCATCAGAAAACCAGACTATTGCCCCACATAGACTGGCGTCTTTTCTTTAAAAGAAATAGAATCAGAATGAGAACAGAAAAGTGTTATTGCCATTTGTGCAAGAATCACAACATTAGGAAACTGCTGTGGTACTTGGTGCAAGAAAAAATAAATGATAAGCAAAATTAGAATTAAGAAATAAACACAATGAAATGGCAATAGCATTCGGTTGCTAACACAACACTAGGGTCATGTGACTAAAACAAAGCAGCTGGAGTGGGCAGGTCTACGATTGTCCTTCAGGAGTCTGACAGCAGAGGGGAAGAAACTGTTTTTGTGGAGAGAGGTTCTGGTCCGAATGGATCGGAACCTCTTGCCAGATGGGAGCGAGTCGAAGAGACTGTATCCAGACAGGGTGAGATGGGTCAGCTGTGATCTGACCTGCACGCCTCAATGTCCTGGAGGTCTACAGGTCCTATGGAGGGGAGTTTGAGGCCAATGACCTTCTCAGCAGAGTGCATGACATGCTGCTGCCTCTTCTCGTTCCTGGTGGTAGCACCAGCGTACCACACGGTAACTGAAGAAGTGAGGATGCATGCAAACGCGTTAGTGTTGCTTAAGATGAGCTGGTTCTAATTGTGCTTAAGTAACCAGAAAATGCAGTGGGAATGAACCTGACTTCATCTGCATGTAAACAGCTCCGTTGAGCTGGTACTGGTTACATCCAGAAGTGACGAGACTGAATAAGTGGACTTCTGATAATGTCACTTCCACAAATTGCCACGTGTATCACCATCAAACAGTACAGTACGTACCAAACAAGCTGTGCTTTAGCTTTGTTGTTGTCCATTCCATCGGCCTTTGTGCAGATCCTTTCTTTACTCCATCTGCTTCACTCCCGCCAGTGTTTGTTTACTATTTGTGTTGCTATAGACCCTTTTACTGTTTGTAAACAATATGACGTCAGCAAGAATGCGCGCGCAGCTTGGCAACAGAGAATGGCGTTGTGTCGGGCTTTATCAAGCTACGCTGCGGGGTTATCACCGGCAAATCTTGAATGTTATATTATTAAACTCTAACGAATGGCAACAGACTCCCGGATCCCTGTGGCATTACGGAATGGGTGGAAGATGTAGGTGCGTGGCCAGATATCCAGTGGCCCGATATATAAATACGTTTTTAGTGGAGAGGCCCAGTAAGTACACACGTGAGAAGCTACGGGCATACAAATCGTTAGATGCATACAACTATATTGTCTGTGGCCACGTACAGAAAGTAAAATATCACGACATAGACTCTGAGTTTTGCGTCTTGACGGCAGAAGTCCTTCCTAGCCAAAGACAAGGACACAAGACTGCTATGTACGAGGCTTGGGTCATAGTAAACAAACCAGAGAACTACGTACCTGCATGGCAGGGTGAGTATAGCATAGGTTTCTTTTTTTGGCGTGCTCAGACTACAACCGTGTTAATTTTTAGAGAAATACAGTTTATACTAATATGCAGTGGGAAAATACAGATGAATTAGAATGAAATGTTAATTTCATTTGCAAACCAGCTAACGCAACTTACTTTAATTAATAGAACACACGTTCACCAGCTTTCTGGTGTAATCTTAGTACATAATTACCTTACCTGATATAAAATAGGCGCTACAAACTCGAGCATTTCGGATCGTGTTTTCACTCCAGTTTTCATTGATTCCTTTTGATGGCCTGCAGCCACAGACACCTCGGATTCTGTTGAAATGGATGTGCTCCCTTCGGAATTCTGTAAAGTTTCAGTCCACTGCTTGAAGAGAAGCGATTCTGGCCTCCATACACGCAACAACCCGACATTTTCATGTGCTCAGAACTTCAAAACAAAGGGTTTAAAACTCTGTTTTAGTATCGAGTGTGAATGAGGAAGCCTTCACTCTCGTTGCCAGGCTGCTCGCGCAACTTTTGATGACGTAGGTAGTAAAAGGGTCTATAAGCCAACTGGTAGAATGCTGACACAAAAGAGCGCAGGTCGTCAACTACCACAGCAGAGTGGAACAAACTTCATTTGAGAGTTAACGTACATGTAAACTAGGATAAAAACTCCCAGTTCATTACTTAAGAACAATGAAAAGATCTATAAATATTCATGGATGTATTACTTGGTTCTTTCTTTTTAACACAGAAAGGAGTTTTTACCTGTTTTTGCTGATGTTTCGACTACTACTGCAGTCTTTTCAGAGCTCGCCGCCACTTCCTTCTCCGTTCCTTCTCTGGTGAGCTCTGAAGAAGACTGTAGCAGTAGTCGAAACGTCAGCAAAAAAACGTTAAACTACTCCTTTCTGTGTTAAAAATAAATAAATAAAAGTAATGCAGTTAGAAGAGACACATGGAATGAACGCATAAAAAATATTCATGGATGTACAAATTGAGATTTTTTAACAGCTGTCCACTGCAGGGTAGCTACTGTCTGTTTGTAACCTCTCCACAGAAACCCACTAAAAAAGTCTGAACCCTCTTAAATAACTGGTAAATAATAAAGTTAAAGTAATGTAAAGTAAAGTAATGTCTCAGAGAGACTAAACGTGATGTTAACACAATTTCCTGTCGTTCACCTACTAGACTATTACACACTTTTGTGTTCCTGAGCTGAAATTTCAAATATTTTTACTGATGTTCAATTGGAGATTAAGTTTATTGCTGCTGAAAAGAGGGCAGGGAAAATACAAGTCGGACTAAACCTTCTCAGAACATTCTGCTATGTTGATTGTTGGTTAACCTGCCACACTCATTCAAATGTGATGAACAGGTTTTCGATTCATTTATACAAAAAATATTTTTTGTTCCTCACAAAGATTGGACGCAACATCAGTCAATCTAAGTGGTCCTCAAATGTGACTCAAAGCAACACAGGGACCAGTGAAGGACACAAAGAATTCACTAGTGAAGCAACACAAGGCGTAGTCACAGTGATGGATGAAGACTTTCCACCCCCTCCAGCTGAGGACTCTGAGTATCTTCCACCCCCTCCTCCAGACTTATTACAAATGCCATCAGACAGTGAAAATAGTCCAGCAGGCCATTACTCACACGAGCCTCCAGAGCCGGTAAACCCGCCCAGACAACCATTCAACAGAGAAGCTTACTTTAAGCAGCAGAGTATGTCTGAGCTGAAACGTCTTTACAAACACATTCATCCAGAGGTTCGTAAAAATATTGAGAAAGAGGTCTACTGTGAATACGGTGAAGGTGAGAACAACCAAGCAGACAACCAGGAATACACGTACGAGGATGATGGCGGCAGCCCCGACGAAATGAATGATGAGGAATATGAGGAATGGGAGGAGATTCTTCCAGGGGAAGTACAAGCTATGCGCTGGATGTTTGAAAATAAACCACTGGATGCCATTAAAGACGAAACTCCCGATGAGGATGGAGACGGCAAGAAAATAACCGAACAGGAAATAATTGTTGGAAGAGATGTGAGACGCACAGCACTGATGTTTGAGACTAAGTCAATAGATGAGCTGGGCTCACTGAAGACCAACTCAACAGAATATAGAAACAAATTCAACAAATTTGACAAGGGTGATGTCCGTGCTGCAGCATGGCTGTTTGAGACCCAAACTATGGACACTCTGAACAAAATGCACAAGGAGGAGGATTTAACAAAAGAGGTTGTGTTTACTGAAGAGGATGGAAATGCTACTATTTGCATGATAGAGAATAAATTCATGGAAGGTCTTGGCCACACTGAGACCACTGATGAGAGCCACCTTCTGAACCTACGGTCAGAGTTAGAGGAAATTACTGGAGATTTTAAAACTATAACAAGTACATTTGACACTCAGTTTAGGTGTGCCATCATGGGGCAATCGGGCCAGATGCTGGAAATAAAGTCTGTGCGCAAAATTGAAACAGAATTGGAAAACTCAATTGCTTCACGGTGGCTTTTTGATACCCAACCCCTAGATTTGGCAAACGGGGAGTTTGCTCCTTTGAAACTTGTGTGTAGTCTTTCCATGGAGGACAACAGTAAAGGAGACTGGGGCAGATGGCTTTTTGAGATAAAGACTTTAAGTTCTCTCAGTGAATGGAAAAATTTACAAATGGAGACTAACGAGATCGTCAGAGCCGATGTGCGTAAACACTGCTTGATTTTTGAAACACAGCCAGCTGATTCTCTTAAGGATGACTCCAACGCCAGACTTCAGTCTATTGAAGACGTTATTGGGGGCAACGTTAGATCGGCAAGAGACTTTTTTGAAAGCAGCCCTCAAACAGCCAGGAAAATTTGCCCCGAGGTCGGAAAACTAAAGAAGGCATCAGAAGGTGAAGAAGTGAAAGGGGATGTGAGACACCAAAAATGGCGCTTTGAGAGTCAACCTCTGGAGCAAATAAGAGAGGAGAAGAAAGATATAATCCGTACGATAAATGTCAGTGAAGACCTCACACAGGAGGATGGCACAAGCTGCAGGGCAGATGTTCGCAGGAACTGTTGGATGTTTGAGACACAGCCGATGGATACGTTAAAAGACGATTCAAACACCCGTCCTTCAACAAAAGAAGAAGTCATTGCGGGTAATGTGAGATCGGCCAGAGAATACTTTGAAATGGTTCCGGGTGAAGACATGAAGGAGTTGGCAGAAGTGGGCAAATTAAAGAAAACATTTGATCTTAATGAGGAGAGAGGGGATGTTAGGCATCAAAAGTGGCTATTTGAAAGCCAACCGCTGGAGGAAATTAGAGAGGAAAAGAAAGAAATTGTACGAACAATTGATTTGGAAGAAATTGATAAAGTGGATGTGTCAAATTACAAGCAAATCTTTGAGAGCACACATTTAAACACTAATGTAGAATCTCAAAAGATTCACATTGAGGGTATTACATCAGGTTCTGTTGAGTCAAATAAGAACCTGTTTGAGTCCTCATCACTGTATGCCATGCAAGACAGCTCTGGACATTTCCACGAAGTTAAAACTGTGCGTCGTGAGGAGGTTGTGAAAGGGGATGTAAAGACCTACAAATGGATGTTTGAAACACGGCCAATTGATCAGTTTGATGATGGTATTGAAAAGTACCAGATTATAAAGGGTATATCAAAGCAAGAAGTAGAATCTGGAGACGTTAAAACTGCTAAGTGGCTCTTCGAAACGCAGCCTCTTGATGCTATCAAGTACTTCAGCAATATTGAAGAAGAAGAAACTGTGGGAATGACTAAAAACCTTGATGTTGTGAAGGGGGATGTGAAAACCTGTAAGTGGCTGTTTGAAACGAAACCAATGGACATCCTGTATGAAAGAGTGGAGTTAAAAGGCAAAGGCGAATCTGAGGAAATACGCAAGGGAGATGTCAAAACCTGCACGTGGCTGTTTGAGACGCAAGCACTAGATGCGATCCATGAAGAAACAGAAACAGTTTTGCAAACACGGACTTTAAATGACGAGGAGATCAGAGGAAAGGATGTGAAAACGGCCTGTTTTCTCTTTGAAACTGAGAATCTGGAGGACCTATCTGGGGAAGAGAAAGGGTCTTATAAACGCGTCACAGAGATAGACATTGAGTCTGGAGATGTGTCACGGAAAAAGTATATTTTTGAGAACCAAACGTTTGATATCATGTCTTCTACATCTGAGGAAGTGATGCAAAAGCTCAAGAGAGTTCAGAATGAGGACATACAAAGAGGGAATGTTGTAAACTGCAAATGGCTTTTTGAGAACCAGTCCATTGACACTATACATGACAGTGAAGAGAAAGATATGATTAACCGCACTGTGAATGATGTGCAAAGAGGAGACGTGGACAAGAGTCGGTTTATTTTTGAGACTTTTTCCTTGGATAAAATCCATGAGGTTTCCTCTGAAACAGAAGGGATGAAGATCCAAAAAATCGTCTGCGATGAGGACGAGAAAGGCGACGTGAGAAATTATACGATGATGTTTGAAACCCTGCCTCTTTATGCCATTCAGGACAAAGAAGGCCATTACCACGAGGTCACAACTGTCACAAGCGAGGAGGTAAAACAGGGAGATGTCGTTGGAACGCGATGGTTGTTTGAAACCAAGCCACTCGATGCCATCAAAGACACCGACGAAGTTTACGTAATCAAATCCGTAACACAACAGGACATGCAAAAGGGAGATGTCATGTCTGCTAAGTGGAAATTTGAGACACAACCTCTCGACAAGATTGCTGATGAAAGCAAGCCTTTAATAAAAACAGTGGAGGATATCCAAAGAGGCAACGTTAGAGTGAATAAACAGCGTTTTGAGGCTGACGCCACGTCAGAGGCATCTGTTCGGACAGTTAATGTCAGTGAAATTCAAAAAGGTGACGTCAGGACAGCAAAATGGAGATTTGAAACCCAGTCCATTGATCAAATAAGAAGCATGAGCTCTGAAAATCTTATTGAAACGGTTAAAAAGGAGGATGTGGCAAAGGGAGATGTCAAACAATCAGTCTGGCTCTTTGAGAAAACTCCTCTTGACCACATTAAAGAGTCAGAAGAGGATGAGAACACAACTCTTAATCCAAAGGAGATTCCCAAAGCGGATGTGAAGACAACAACATGGCTCTTTGAAACCACACCATTAAATGACTTTAATGAGACTATAATAGAAAAGACTGAAATATTGGGCAAAAGCATCAAGGGAACTCTTGAGGAACTTTATAGTCAGAAAATGGTGAAGTCAAAGGGAATACTAATTGAGGCTGATGAAATTGGTGATATAAGAATGGCAAAGTACAAGCTAATGAATAAGGAGGCTCCAGAGATTCAACGGGAAGAAATTATCAGGGGAGATCTGCAGACAATAATGATGAACCTCCTGGATAGACACGAACAAAAGGAGCAGCATATAGTCATTGATTCGGAGGAGAAGGGAAATATCAGCTCAACAGTGCAACAACTATTCAGCCAAGAAAGAGCTAGCAATGTTGAAAAAGAGGAAATACTGCGTGGCGATATCCAAGACGCTCTTACAAACCTCTTCAATGAGCGTGGATCAGCAAAACAGGGGATACTCATCCAGGAAGATGAAAAAGGAGATGTGCAGATGACAATATATTCCCTTTTGCATAAACATGAGAATGTTAATGTTGAAAGGGAAAAAATTGTAAAAGGAAACATAAAGAGCGCTCTTGAAAGGCTGTCAAGCTCAGACAAGCCAGACGAGGCTCTGAAAATAAAGGTGGATGACACTGAAAAAGGAAATGTTAATTTTTACTCAACATGCATTGAATCTGGGGCGCTTGACTATCTTAAACAGCTCCAATTAGACCCTGAGGACACTCCTGAGACACTTGATGCAGCAAAAAGAGAGCAGATCATTGGAGGAGACATCAAGGGCACTAAATCCATCCTGAGTCGCAATCAATCGCAAATTGAGCGCACAGTAGAGGATGTTATCCCGGGAGATGTCCACAATGCACTGAAAGTTTTCATGTCCGAGCCAACGGTCTCACTGGAAAGAATCCAAAAAGAGGAGATAGTCAAAGGAGATTTAAGGGCTGCTTTGAACTCTTTGTCTGACTCAGTGAAGCAGACAGTTACAGTGGAAAAGGAGGAGGTGGTGAAAGGCAACATCCCGAAAGCTCTGCTGTGTTTGGAGAAGGCTCAGAGAAGTTACAAGGAGGTGGAAAAGCCGGACATAATTCCAGGAAACATCAGAGGGGCTCTAAGATCTCTTGAGAAATCAGCAACATCGAGAGTCGAAGCTGCTGTTGAGGATTTGGTTCCCGGAGATGTGAAGGCCACACTAAAATCCCTCGAACTGGCAACGAAAACTGTGAAGGAATTTGAAAAGGAAGAAATTGTGAAAGGGGACATTCAAACAGCAATGCTAAATCTACAAGATGCCTCCACTGAGAGGAGAAAGTATCAACAGGAAATAGATGTTCAAGGAGATGTAAAAGGGACGATTCAGCTCTTCATGGAGTCTCCACCCTCGCCGACGATGCAGCAGAGCCTGAGCCTCGAGGGTGACATAAAGGGTGACATCAAAATGTCAATCAAGTCATTGTATGATACACAGGAGCAGACCCAGATGGAGAAAGAAGAAGTGATAAAGGGTGACGTTAAAGGCACTATTAAATCACTTTTGGAAACGGCCCAACGTGAAGCTTCCAAAATCAAACATGGAGCGTACCGAAGAGTTAAAGTTAAGCAGGGTCCTTCAGCGAAAAACATGAAGCCTGACGGACAAAGGAACATACAAAAGATAAAAACAGCTAAACAGGCTGCAACTAATGAAAATCACTCCATCACAAACGAAACTGATGTCCAAATAAATGTATGTTCTCTAGAGACATCTGCTAAGAAATCAACGGTGGTGGAGCACAAAACCATCACCCAAAACCACGGCATCAAGACTGTAAAAACAGAGTTTCGCAATCTGAAATCCAACCCAAAGGGGATGAAAATGGGAAAAACCAAGGTCAAAACTGATTATTACACATTCAAGTCACAAGCACCAGAGCCTGATCTGCCTCTCCCACCTCCACCTCCACCGATGACAGACACTGACCTTCTTCCTCCTCCACCTCCCAGTCCTCTTCCTGCCTCTGTTGATACATATGCTGATCTCCTTCCTCCCCCACCGCCACCTCTAACAGGTGAGCAGGACTTTCTCCCACCTCCTCCATCCCAACAAGAGCTGGAGAGTATGCCAGCTCAACCAATGAAAGCAACGAAAATGACAGTCAAGAAAGTTAAAGCTCCAGTTTTGCACCAAGTTCCAAAGCTGGAGACAAAAGTTGAATTAACAGAGAAAAAAGTGGAAGTTGACCTAAATCATCTTAAAACAACTACAGATGTATCTAAAACCATTCTGCATGAAATCCCGCTTCTATCGTCCGAATCACCACAGCCTTTGAAGAAGGTTTACATCACTCCAGTGAAATTTACTCCCCCACCTTCCCCTCCTCCCTCAATGAGAGGGAAAAGCAGTAAATTCAACACACCGTTAATAAAAGCTGAAGAGAAGTTCCGGAATCTAAAGGAGGAAAACACACCTCCAACTACCCCATCTCCCACCTTCATGCACGACTCCGTCAGTGCTGCTCTTGAAATGCTTTCTAATAAAGAGCATTCGATTTACAGCACCGCAGGAATCGCACAGGAAGGGGATGAAACAGTAACAGCAGGTGCTCATTTGGACACTTCATTGTGCGATTTTTCCAAGCAGGCTGTGGCCTCAAATAACACCCAAAGCAATAAGAAAATCGCTGCAGAATCTACGGCCATTTCTTCTGCAAAACAGCAAATCCTAACAAACGAGACAAGAGTTGTTGCCGTTCAAAAGACGTCATCCGTCTCTGCTGTTAAACAACGCATGCAAATCAGCACACAGGAAGCGCTTTCTATTTCATCCAAACAATCAGCTCAGCCTGGCCTCTCTGAAGAAGTGCTGATTTCAGTCACTGATGCTGCAAAGAAAGAGTCTAAAAGTCATAAAACAAAAGACTCAAGCAAATCAAAAGATGAAGATGACATTCATCACCAAAAAGTACCTGAAACAGAAACAAAACCCAACAATTTTCCGAGAAAAACTGATAAACACGAAAATGCATCTAAATCACCTAGAGATGACAAGGAGAAAACACACGCTTCCTCCAATGGACAAGGAACTGTTTCTAAAGAGCCTACTCAAACAGAGAAGACAACTCTCAATACAAATGGGAAATCGGGCAAACAGAAGATGAAAAAGAATGGCAGCAAACAAGAGAAGCAAGCAGAGATAAAAGTGTCTACTGAGAGTGAGAAAAAGAGCGTTTCCCAAGATTTGAAAGTAGAAGTGAAGGAAGCTGCAAAGACAAAACAGGAGATAAACAAAGTTACTCCAGCGCCTCCCGCAAGCAATGCTGACAACCAACCAGGGACCCCGACTCCAGCAAAGAAGAAAAAGAAATCTAAAAAGTCTAAAGGGGGTGCACAGCAAGGTCCGCCTAAAGAAACCCTGTCGGATTCAAAGATAGAAACAAAAGAGGCCAAGAAAGAAACATCTGAAACAATCCAACAAAACCAGGAAACAACTGCAGTCAAACAACTTCAAAAAAGCTTCAAAGAAGAGCAAATAAGAGGAGACGTTAAAACCGCTGATAGAAAGGATGATCAGAATTCCCACCAGGAAAGACACTTTCAAAAGCTAGAGAGGGAAACTCAAAAAAAAGAAGGGACGGTTACTCAGCAGAGCACAGAGGAACAACCAAAAGAAATCAGGGATGCCCCAATTACAATGACAGCCATGCCAGAACTAAATGAACTCGTAAAATCCACCACAGAAAGAACAAAGGAACCTCAGGCACAAGAGGTCCAAGTGTTAATCTCTCAAATCACAGAGATAGAAAGTACTTTAGAGAAGACGGAGTCTAAATCTGTGAAAGGTCTGCTGAACTCGCTGCCAGACTGGCTGCTGACTCCTGAAAGCAAACGTGAGATGAAGCAAAGTGTTGCAGAAAGCGATGCTCAGAAAAACAAAGACATTATTTCAAATGAGAGGACACTTGCAGAAGAAAATGTGGTGCCTTTGTCAAATGAAACAATAGATGAGCATGAATGGGAGCTGGGTTCTGAGAAAGCATTTGGAGAAGCAACCAGAATATCCAAGATTAGCATTGGTTCGACCAAAATTGAGACACAAATTCAGAAAACAACCTCACACGAAATCAGGAAGGAGGAGATGAGTTTTTGCAAATCGGTTGACCTTCGAGCTCCGTCGCCTTCACTCAGGGTGCGGCCTCCTTCTCCAACATTTATCACCATCGAGTCCATGCGGAGAACAGACTCCCCCCAGAGAGTCACTCCGTCCCCCACGCTGCTGCACAGGCCTCCCACACCTCCAACACCGCCGCCGCGCAGGTGCGACACCCCAACGTCACGCATCACGAGAATCACACCTTCTCCAACTTTTGATAAGGCGGAGAATCTGGCTCGGCTTAAAGACACAACTATGAAACTGTCGCGGGTCGTCACCCCACCACCAATACTCTCCAATCAAATTCCAGAAAAGAAATCGGAGATTGTGGAATCTCCTACAACGTTCCACCGGCAAATCAAAATTGATTCCCAGACATTAGATGCTTCAGAGACTTTGACTAACACTCAGAGGATTGACACCAGGGTAAATGAATTCCATGTGCTGGAGCTAAACAGTACACCGAGTAGTTCAAACAATCACATGACACAAGACCAAAACGAGTCAGATCCTGCTGAAGATCCGGATGATTTTGAACCATCTGCTGCATCTGTCAAAGAAAAGAGGAATTTCTTTGAAGAAGCACAGAAAGCTGAAAGGAATAAGGTTTATGTGCGTAAAGAACCCATCACTATAACAGAGCGATTGGGCCCTGAGATAGAGCTATGTGAAGATGACAGTAAGAACAAAGAAAAAGATGAACCTCTCAGGGAAGACTTGTCTGGTCTTGTAAACAAATTTGAATTCCCAGAGGAGAAACTCGCTGAGCGTGTTCACGGCGGCACCGAGAGCGCAGATTGTGATGAGGAAAGAACAAACATCCTACAAAAGGAAAAGCCGTCTTTTAACATTCAGGCTCTTAAAGATGTTTTTAAATTGGGTGAGCAAATATCTTCATTCAAAGTGGAGGAAAAGGATCAGGAGGAGTTTTTATCGAGTCTGAGTGAAACAGCAGCAGACACTTCAAAGCCGGAAAGTCCAGGTGAGTCAAAAAGAGGCTCAAGGCAGAGCACCCCTCTCCCGTTTCAGAAAAACAAGGCAGAAACTGTTCCTGCACCGCCAGGCCCCTTCTCCGAAACCAAAACCATCACAGAGCATTTCTCAAATGTTGATGAATTTGGTAACAAGGTCACCGGAACACTGACTGCTTTCACTCAACACTCTGAAAGCATCTCAACCCAGCAAGTCCCATTTTCTTATGCCGATGTGGTGAAAAGAAAAGCTGCCAAGGGAACAGAAACGTATGATGAAGACGCTACTGAACAGTTACTGAGAAATTTCCACAAAACATGGACAGAAAGCGAGGTGGTTTTCAAGAATCTTGGGTACACGGTGTCAGAGGAGGCAACGTCACAAGCTGAGTCACGTCAGATGGAGAAGGCCTCCTCGGGTAAAAAGTTCACAGCATGAAACGGCAGAAAACTGACAGCATGGATGAGTGTGTTTTCTGTTGTAAGAAAAGTGATGTTTGTGCAAGCTGTTGTATAATAAAACTATGTAAAAACCTTGGAGAACACATTTTAGTAATTGCATTTTGCCACCACTTGGAGGAAGTCTCCAGAATGTATGAGGCAACCAGGTGCGTTGGCCCAAATCTGCTTCGTTGTTTTGCTTTTGGAGCTTATCTTATAGCTATTGAACACACAAATTATGACCCACGACATTTTGCTTTGCAATTGAGTGAAGCTAAAATATTTAAAAGATTAAGACTCCCCACTGCAAATTGCACCACTTCGTTGTTATTTTACTTTGCCTAGTTTGAGATTCAATCTGTTGTATCAGACCATCTCTGCTGGTGCAAACTATTACTGTATTTGCTTACAATTCAACCAGTGTAGGCTATAGCATTAGCTCTGAAAGCATTGTTAGCTATAACAAAAACGGCATGAAAGTCCATTTGTCTAGCTTAAATGCCACAATATTTTTCTTGCTGAAGGTCAGATTGACACAGGCCAATGTTCTATGTGCTGCCATGTTCCAGTGCTTCTCTTGATTTGACCTCTTTAAACCTAAATGTGTAAAACAAGACAGGCTTCTAATGGGCTATTCCCATCTGTACCGGGTCGGCCCGGGCCGGGTAGCCCCAGTCGGCCCCAGCCTGGCCCGGTTGATTCCACACATCCTTGTCTTAAGCCCATGTGGGCTGATTCTACACACCAATCAGAGGCTTGCTCTAATGGAAGGTGTGAATTTTCTGTCAGCAGTGGGTGTGTTGGCCCTGGTCGGCCTGAAGCAGACCCCCTCGAGAAGAGAGCTGAGAATGAGCCTTGGTTGGCCCGGAAAAATACCAGGCCACCCAGATATGTAAACAACCTACGCTACCCGGCCCGGGCCGACCCGGTACAGATGGGAATGGCTCATTAGACAGTGCAGTGCAGGGCCTCAGTCTTCTTCCACGGTGTGTTTGAGAGATGCATTAATAAATTTGCATGTTTCACTAATGAAAAAAGAGATTTCATACATGTATTTGTATCACTAATAAAAAAATATGTAAATTCAATCCGCTGTGAAACCTGCTGCTTTGCTTTTTTTTACCTGGACTTGAACTGGAGTTGCATCTCAAAAATGTTGCTTAAATTGCTCAAGACTGATTTGCACTTTATGTCTTTGGGGGCACAGGCTCGAGTCCCGAAGTGGGAGCTTTGCACTATGTGCCGGAGGAGAGCTTATCCGATGGATGCTGTGATAGTAGACAAAAAAAAGTACCATAAATCCTGTTTCTGCTGTGAACACTGCAACAACAAGTTAAGGTAAAAAAACATCCATCAACTTGTCTTTTCATGTGACATCTCAACTTCTGTGCTGGTCATTATTGTTTAAACAGTTTAAAGATTTTTTTTTTTTTACTTATTTATTTTGCAGCCTGGGAAACTACGTCTCTCTCCATGGACATTTGTACTGCCTGCCCCATTACAGACAACTCCTCAAATCCACAGGGAATCACAGCAACAGTCTTGGACAGAAACCTCCCACAGGAAGCGGCAGATCCATTCCCTTAGATGACACCCTCGAACAAAAATATTCCATGAGCAGCAGAAATTCAGTAGACAGAATCCACAGAGGTGAAATAACAAAAACATTTAATGAAAGCAAACCACACAGCAACAAAATATTAGTAGTTTGGCCCCCGCAGGGCGATCCACCCAAGAAAGCCTTTAAAATGGAGGAAGATATTCAGCTAACAAAACCACAGTGGCCACCTCGAGACAACGCCCCTTCATCTCCCAAACACCAACACAGAAAGGCTGTTCCCAGAAGTGTCCTTTGAAATATCATCTCCCACAGACAGAGTTTAGTTAAATACATTCTAAGAAGAACCACGGATGCTTTAATGGTAAAAGAGAAGGAAGTTTGTTGATACAAATGAGAAAGTGTTTAGCTGAAGGTCATGCAGTTATGTGATTTTAAAAAGGGAACCGTGCAGGTGAGAAAAGGAAAGTAAACTATGTATATATTTGTAAATTGTGAGGAAACAGAGGTTGTGAGAGCAAGGTGGTTTTGGACAAAGTGTAAAAAGTGGATGTATAACTGAAAAAGTGTACCTGTGCAGCAGTGTGGCTTATCCAGTGTATCAGTTTCTAAATTATCTTAGATTTGTTGTCTGATTATCACAGCTAATGCTGGCACATCGCTTGGTATTTAATGCAACAAGATTAAGTCAAAGTTTACAGCAGCTGTGACAAAATGTTTTTGTCTTAAAAGTCTTATTTCATCGGGTTTAGGAACTTGGTTTTAAAGGTGCAGTATGTAAGAATATAGTGAGAATTTTACAGTGAGAAAATCCCAAAAGAGTCTGATGTTTCAATTATTTTGGAAGTTTGGCAAGGTGGAGAAACGAGGGCGGGATCCCATCCCCAGACTGCCGGGTGAGAGTCATTCATGCTAACCAGTCAGCCAAAGGGATATCCCCGAGGCCAAGTAGCCAGGGCGCTCACCCTGCCACATATTACCCCTCTGGTACCAACCTAATCTCCAGGGCCACATCTGGGAGCTAACACTGCTGCGCCGACAATTATAATTTGATGACGACGGGCAAAAAGCTCCGGAGTTGTTTAAAGTGGGTACCGTAACCAAACTTTACCACATGATATCATTTTTACTTCATTTCTGCATAATGCACCTTTAATTATTATGACAAAAATTAGGATTTGATTGGCATTTTTTAAATGAGGTTTAAGTTGGATTACTTTTAAAATAACTGGGGAAAAATCATATTGTTGCTCCTGAACTTTAAACCTACAAAATGTGGATCATAAATGAATTGGCTTATTAAAATGGTCTCAGGTTGTTTTTTTATTATTCTGTTTCAACTTTACAATCTTGCATATTTTTCAGCACCTGGTGTGCAGAGTTACTAAAATATTCTTGGAATAATTTTATTTGTATCGTTAAAGGTATATAATATACATGAGTAAATTGGTGGAAATCATGTTTGTTTTCGATATTTGTGTCCTATTTTTCAGCAAGAAATATTTTTCAGTGATAAATAATTTTTTTAGATTAGACATCATTCTGTACTTTCCATTGAACAAGAAAATTTCTGATAATGTCATACTGTCAGACTGGATCACTTATTAAATTGCTTATATTGGTGCAATAAAATTTTAAGTTTTGTTGTTTCCTTTCTTCATTTTCAGATTTAATGTAGGCCTGTGGTTCTGCTTAAGTCTAATACTGCATGGTGTTCTAACATCTTTCATGGGGCCCAGATCTGCTTGTTGTAATTTGTAAGAAATATTTTTATCCAGGCAACATTCTTGCATGTTTGTTACATGGTTATACTTTATTTAAATGTACAAATTTTATAGTGAAATGCTTTATTTAAATGTACAAATTTTATAGTGAAATCATCACAAAACAGTCTAATGTCTCAGTTATAGAAGATGTCCTTGTCAGTCAGGTGGAGGCCAGTTTTTCTCCTTTTAAAAAGGCCAAAGAGGGATGTAGTCTTTGATCTGTCAGCCTGCAGGGTTGCCGAGTCTAATGCTGCTGCACCAATGCTTGTAATTTGACACTTGCCGACAAAAAGATCCAGAGTTGTTAAACGAGCCGATACCAGATAAAGGAGTCGACCCAGAAGTTATTTCTTGTACCCTTAAGAAGCCACTGCATCTTTTTGTTTTACTCTAATATCGGGTAAAGAAGGCTAACGGCTAACGTTGAGCTAAAAATGCTAACGGTGAATTAGAAACACATTCAGCTCTAAAAATATTCAAGCTACTTTTTCAAATTAGCAAAAACTTGATATTACAGTGAAATGTATTTACCTAATTATCAGCTTACTTTGCATGACTCGTCTTCACTTGTTTTCTAGAATTTTCTAGTGCTGGGCGGTAACATACATAAAACTCACGGAACAGGAGGGGGAGAGTCATTTGTTTGTTTTAAAACATGGACTGCAGTACCCAGATTTGACCACATGATGCCATTTTTACTTCATGTGCCTTGAAAGAATTCAATTTTTGTTTTAAGAGATTTTTTTAAAGTAGAGATCTAGACCAACTGTTGCAGTAGCAAATTATTTTCCCCCAGCAGGTCTCCCATTGGCCCAAACACTTATGTGTCTTGCCAATCAAAGTGCTCAATGTTTGTTAGGTGCACCTAATGCTAGAGCTGCAACAACAAAGATTGTGTCAGCTCAGGTACAGAGCTTGTTTGAAACAGTTTTGGTGTCAATTGTAGACTATTTAGACATGTGCATTTCTTTGAGACATGATTTCTATGAGCAGATAGAGATACTAACGTTATTGATTTAGAAAAATTATGTATTTTTGTCTTCCCATTGTGCATGGGATTAGGATCAGGGTTGAGTACATAACATTTTTCATTGCTCTGATTGGCCCTAATGCCACCCAATTGTATGCAGACAGTTTGAAAGGCAACTGTAGAATTTGTGTGATTGGGTATGATATATGGGATGGCTTGCCAGGCTAATAAATGCATTAAAGGGGAACTAGGCAGTTTTGGCTTGCTTTTAGCACCCCCTCGTGCCAGTTAGAACAGACAGCAAAACGTATTTACTAACTGTGTGTTATTTTTTTTCTTAACACTTTAATCTGAGAGCTGAAATCTCTCCCCAGCCTTCATTAGTGTCTACAGGAGCAGTTTATCCCTAAAATGAAACATGTAGAACATGTGCTGGAAGCAGACTGCAGCTCCAGGTATGTTTTTTTTCCCATAAATCCAACAGGTTTCAGTGGCACTCTGAAGTTGCAAATGCGGTATTCTGGTCACAGACAGCATAAAGGTCTGAGTGACATTTCATTAACCATGTAAAGGGTAATTTTAGCACACACTGGCTCAAGAAAAAGATTAAAAAATATGAAAAAGATGCTAACTATCTCTTTAATAGTACAAAAATGGTCAGAAGAGTAGATCATTTAGAATGGCATGCAGGATTCCAACAGGACATTTTAGATTAAGCTGCTAAATGGAGATGTTTTTTGAACTAAAACAAATGCAAAACGACAGCATTTTCTTGCTCCTTACAGTAAATATAACTCCTAGCAATCACCGGTTTATTTTGGGAAGATTAGTAGTTGTAACTATGTGATGCAACTATGTTGGTCACCAAGGGGAAGTAGTGCTATAGATTTAGTTCAGTGTGTTAAGATGATTTTAGTTGATACGTGGAGGCCACCCGATCCCTTTCAGGTCATCAGTATAATCTCATTTACACGCTATCCTCTCCTTGACAGGGATTTTAGAGCACAAGCTGTAGAAGTTTGACTGGGCTGCTGTAGCATTCATATGAGGATTTGGAGAATTAAATAATAAAAAAGATAATGGTTACCTTCAGCAGAACAGTGAATATAAAGTGCTTAAATGGAATTACACAGCAAATCTATAGGTTCAGTCTAAATGAAGTTGTTCATCCTCTTACTGTTCCTGTTTGCTTACTACCGTGTCCTGGTGCTGACCTCTGATTCACCTGCAAAATGAAACATAAACTTTAATTTTGTGATTCGTTAAGCTAAGCATGTGAAGTAGATGACAAACATTTGAAAAATCACAAACATAGACGCATTTTATGATTGTTATTAAAGTTTCTAAAATGCAAAACAACTTGATGCCCTAACAAGTTCATTTTGTTACACCATGTGTGGAAAATGTAAACAACAAATCTAAATGTCATGCTCTAACAGAGCGTTAGAGGAGACAGTATTATAGAACACACACACACAATTGATGAAAGGCTGTGTCTGGATTAATCAAGCACTCACAGCAAATCTGTTATTTCCGGGTTAGGACGGATCATGGCTCAATATATTTCTTCCATCAGCTGCTATGCTACAAAGATATTTCCAAGTGCAGCCTAAGTCTTTCAACATTGTGCATTTTATTGTGAAAATCTTTTAGGGATTGCAAGGCTACATAAAAATGCTCATGCCTAAATCAGAAACCCTTAACCACACTGCATGTTATAGATGTTTCAACACACCTGATTTAAATCAGCAGGTGATTCAAGAACTTGCCGTACTTTTGGTCTAAAAAACGTCCTTATGTCCATCTTCACTCATGCGTTTCAGGCAGAGACTGCAGAAGAAGCCGGCTGCTGAAGGGCTTCTTCTTCAGTGGTGGAGGCTCAGGCAAGCTGTATAAAAACTACTGCCAGCTGCTCCCTCTCTGTTGGACTTTGGTACTGCATGTTACTTCCGCGATTTAGATCTGGGGCTTTCCATTAAACATCCGGGGCTTCAGCCCAAGTAGCCGGGCCTAACGCCGCCCCTGGAACCAGGTGGTGAAAAAGTGCAAAAAACAAAAGTACAAGTGGGGACTCCTAATGAAAGGAAACAAAGCCAAAACCAAGAACGTGTACGCTTTAAAACAAGAACAATAAGGCCTTGGTTTTAAAGAGTTTCATGGTTTTCATTCAGTTGTGCCAGCCAGAAACAAAGAAAGCAGGCAGACAACCTCCAACAAAATGATACAAAAACCAGGAAAATAACTCTCAAACAATCCTAAGTCATTTGACCTTAAAAGTTATTTCACATGGGAGGAGAACACTGGAAACTCACGGTAACTCAGTAATATAATTATATAATTCTGCTGAATTCTCTTTGAACAAATCTCAGCAGATGGTCAGAAAAACAGAAAACGGCACTGCGAAACCTCTGGTTCTTTCCTCACAGGGGAGAGAAACTCAGAGCTTTTGAACTATTTCAAGTATGGCAACTGACTTAATTCAATAAAAAGATGAGGCAGTGATTCGGTTTTATCTTATAAAAAGCAGAGCAAATAAGCACAAATATAGGAATTCACGGCTCTTTGAAGTTTTCCAAAAGAGTCTCTCATGCGGCCGACATCTGATGTAACCCTGTGGGGGAAATTCACCCCAGGTCGTCATGGCAATCCCAGATTGAATTAGGAAACAAAAAATGCTTTGAATAGATATGGTGTCTACGCCTGATATAGGCCTAGGTGAGATCAAGGCAATTCCAGCAAGTTTTAACTAGTTTATCAAAGGTTGGAGCAAAGTGACCCAGGACAAATAATACACAAATAATCCAACAAATCAGAGGGCTGAGAGTCTAAAATCTTGATTTCAGCAGAAATTCACAGACTTTTTTCTGCAAAATGTGTGTTGCAGCCTTTTCCTTTTTCCTTGAATGTGCAATAAATGTGTTCATGCAAACTATTTTGCTCTGCAATAGATCATTATTGCAATGATCAGCTTCAGTAAGCATTACTGATTAAACTTTAAGATGCTTTCTCATCACCCACCTATGAGATTAACTTACTGTAGCTCCTCCATCTGCAGCATTAACGTGACTGGAAACATTTTGAACAAGTTGACCAGAAATTCTCTCACAGCGTCAATCTACCTTGCTGCCCAGGTCGCGGCTGAGCGCAGCCCTCACTTTCCCTGCTTCTGATTGGATTGGCGAGGTGCTTATTGGATTACTTTCTCATTGGTCGGCTCCTCCTCGTCGAGCGGCGAGTCAGCCTCATTGCGTCACCGTCATGGTTCCCCCCCTCCACCCTACCCCACCTCCAGCAGACCAGCAGCAGTGTTTTTTGGAGATGCTGAGGCAAAGCAGCCGCGGATCGCCCTGGACCACGGGTGTGAGTGGGATGGAGATGCGGAGCGAGGTAGGTGAGATGGAGATGCGGATTTAAACCCAAACGACACCGCGAGCGCAGTGCTGTTTTTGTCTGGTGGAATGCAGCGCGTGGGGATGATCGTACTAGTTTGTGGAATTTCTGCAGTGTGAGGGGTTCATTGATTTCCACATCATGTGTCTGTCCTTGTTCCTGAGCGCGCTCATCCGGAGATTTTCGGGCGTCTCCTCTATTGTGGACCTTTGATCTTTAACTAAGTGCGTTGGGGTTGTACACATTTGGGGTTTTGGTGATGCGGGTACTTGGACGCAATCTGACCGCCCTGATCTTTGTCCTGGTTCCTCTTCGTTGTCACCTCTGCTGCCCGTTATAGGAAAAAAAGGCTTTAATTGTCCTGCTGGGCGACAACCAAATGAGCCGCAATCCAACTTCGAACAGGCTTACTGTATAAAATCTGCCAATTTGGGACTTTTTTTCTCTCCTTTTATCAATATTTTGTTGTCAAAAATCTAAGTCCGAGTGCTTGCAAAGTTTACAATTGCTGCAGAAATAAAGCAAAAATATTTTTTGGATTAGACTTCAGCATACGGTGGTATTTGCAACAACATACAGATTCTGCTGATGCCAGATTCGAAAAGATGGAGAGCTTTTGCAGGTATTCATGATGGACATTCATTTGATTTGCAGATGCAGCTAGATCGCCATCCCATTGAATGTTTTAAAATCTTATTTTTGTTCATATAAATTAGTTCTGCATAATTATATCAATTCAATGAGTGTTTACTTATTATTTTGAGATTAAGCTCTATTTCCTGGTTAACATTGTGATGTTTTTGTGTTCAATCTGCTCATGTTTGACTGAATTTTCACCATTTTAATGATTTATGCTAAACCTCATCATTCAAGGGGGGTTGCAGGTCTGTGTCTGTGTGTGTGTTAACGCTCACTAATCACTTTCCAGCAAAGTGTCTGAGGAGTCTAAAGCTTTAATCCCTGGTTTAAGGTACAGGGCTGCCTTCATTGTTGCATTGGGTTTAAGATCTGCAGTAAAAAAAAAAGCAAAATTGCTTTGAAATTAGGTTTGTAATATTATTAAGAAAACTGCGGAGTAACTGGAAAAGAGAGACTTAATTACTCAATTAAATGTAGGAGAATGGAAAAAAGTTGCTTGATATATTTATTTATTATATGTTAGTGCTGCCAAAATTATAAACATTATTTTAAATTACATTTTGGGTACCTATGTTTTTAAAAACTGCACTTTTTCTCGTAGAACTGTATAAAAAACAACTTTTATTTTTAAATTTTAATTAATTATCATGGCTGACATGCATGTTCAAAAGGTGAAACACATCTCTTGATCTTTTGTAGATTTCAATAAGCAATTAAACACATTTCTTCTTTTTCTTAAGCCCACAAAACAAGTCTGTTGTAAAGAAAACAACTTAAATTCAATTTTGCATTTAAGTAGATCTTTTGGGTTATCTTGTTTTGAGCGTATTTGTCAGAAGAATTCTGATCTGTGGTGTTCAGCTCCTCTCCAGCAGCTGCATGTTTCTCTCAGCATGAAAAGGACAGAACCTACTGTGTTTTTCTTAGTTTAATGATCATCCATGCTGTAATTTACCTTATTAGGAAGCAAATAGACATATTTATTGAAAAGGCAAGCAACAACCCCACAACATGTTTATTTTAGCAGGGGTGATGAGTGCGTACTCTCTTCAGTCACAGTAGTGATTAGTGCGCTTTCTCAGGCATCATTATGATCACATGTATTACACTTCAGAGGGCTGTTAGCTCCCATCTCTGAAAATATTCAGTTTTATTGCAGCTCAGATTCTCTTAGTGATGATGGCACAGAGTCAACATAGTTCTGTGCGTGTTTTGATATTACATTTATTTTTTTTATTATTTTTTTTTGCATTTTGTAACACTTCCAAGTAGACACAGTCTGTGCTAGTTCAGCCAGTTTTCCTACTTCTTTTTCTCATTTTTAAAACGTATTTTAACCGAGCATCTTTTCCCAAAAGTACAGAACCGTTGCAAAGGTGCATAAAACAGAAAAATTCAACCCCCCTGACTCAGGGCTGGTCATTTAAAATAATTTGGTCTCAACATGCTCTTATTTTGTCTTGTCTGTCGAATAAAGTGTAATTTTCTCCCTTTTTACAGCTTGATCCCACATGTTTGTTTAAACCTAAAATTTAGATAAGGTGGCAGAATGACAGAAAAACACAAAGTATTCACCTTCAATAACTTTAATCACTACCCCTATAGCCAACGGCTCTTCTGGGTGGGGCTATCATTCTTAGTCCATCATAAATATTCAAATGAACAGTTGGAAAATGGCTACAATTCCAAAGCAATATTTTATTTTCCTGTTCCATATAAACAGTTTTGCTGAAGAAGTAAAACATCAAATTAATAGATAAATTAGACTGTGGCCTTATTCACATTTAATTTTGTCCTTAGTTTGTTTTCCATCATTCTCCAAAAATGTGTGTACATCTCAAAGTGCAATATTCAATTCCACCTTTAGGTGTCACTAACATGACATGGAAATTAATTATACACTGTTTTGAACATTCTAATTACATAAAATGAGTAGAAATAAAGAAATTTATAAACAAACAGCTACAGATATGATTTCATTTCAACAGTGAGTGAGTGTGAATGAGGGCGTGAGAGAGAGGATAAAGGAGATCCAGCACCTTCTAGAATGTCATAGCTGGCTATTTCCTGTAGCAGGGGCACTATCCACAGACCTATAGCGAGCCTAAGTCTCCTCCCTTTCTGGTCAGCCCATAGGTCCCTGGAAAAATGAAAAAATGAATGCAAGTCAATGGAGCTAAAAACGCTATTTTTTAATCCGCTTTGCCTTACGGCCTGGATCACACATATGCTGTACTTCAATTTAAATGAAAACTAATGGTGGTTGTTTTGACCACGCCTGTCATGTACTTTGAGATTTATCAGCTTGTAAAAGTTCGTAATTAGCATGACCACAAATCGGCATGTTGCATACTGTATATGACATCACCACAGATTCTCTTCTCCACTAGCGTAGCTGCTACTTACCAAATGGCCATATTTACAGTACCGTATTTTCCGGACTATAAGCCGCTACTTTTTTCCCACGCTTTGAACCGTGCGGCTTATAATGAGGTGCGGCTTTACTGACGATTTTCCTTCACCTGCCACGGAGCGCTTTAGCAGAAAGTGAAACAAGTGGAAGTCAAAAGTGGAAATCGAAGAAAGTGCTCATTTTATTTTGGCACATGCAAGCAGCCGGCACGACAAAGTATTTTTTTTTTCAAATCAATACCCCCTCATCATGGTAACTACACAAATGAGTTCATATGATGCTGCATTTAAGTTGAAGGCCATCGATCTGGCAGTAAAGGAGAGAAACAGTGCTGCCGCACGTAAGCTTGGCATGAATGAATCCATGGTTCGGCGCTGGAGACGGCAGCGGGAAGAACTCATGGACAGCGACACTGACATCGCCACAGAAAAGGTATGTGACGAAGCTCTTCTGAGGCTGTTCGACTCCGACACTGAAGAAAAGAACTTTAATGGCTTTAGTGTGCAAGAGGAAGATGAGAGCGAATGACTTTTTCTGGTAGGCAAGTGTGTTTTATTTCCTAACCAGGCAAGTTTTGTGTGCAGTTTTTATTTTCTAATCATCCAGGGCTCATTAATGCTGTGTCAGCACTGTTCTTTTCTTCTAAACATGCAAATTACTGGTAATAACGTATCAGTTCTGTTTTTATTTTATAACCATCCAGAAATATGAATGCTATCAGTGCTGTTTTCTTTTCTAAACTTGCAGGCACGTTCACCCGTGTTTAAAATTCGTTTTGTTGAATTAAAACAACAACGAAAAACCTCCGTGTCGCGTCTTCCTGTCTAATTATCTTATGTTATGGCCATACATGCGCTGTGTGCCGCAGACCTGCATGTGGCTGCTGCGCCGCGGCTTGTATTCGAGTGCGGCGTGTGTGTGTGTAGAAAACCTTTTTTTTTTTTGTTGGTGTGGCTTATATTGAGGTGTGCTCTATAGTCCGGAAGTTACGGTAGTTCTTTCCTTCTGAAGGAATGGTTTGAGGTTTGCTGAACTTACAGCCATTTTCCCTTTTTTTTCTCCATGTCTGGCTCGATGACGTCACCTTCGTGAAGCGTATTTGTAGTCTTGGACCTATTTTCACACAAAACCTAAAATATTGTTTCCCCCCGTTTGAAAATAAGTGCGTTCTTGGTATCAAAATGCGTCTTTAAAATTCATAAATATCATATGTGAAATCCATGGCACAAAACAAACAGGATTAGAAAATAGCAATTTTAGCCCCATTGACTTGTATCCATTTTTTTTTTTTCTGGGACCCATGGCACAGAAGTATATGGGTGGGTCTTAAGCTCCTATGTACATAGGTGTCCCATGGACTGGCGCTGCCTATTACAGCTGCCGTAGTGGCTGGCCGCCATCTTAGATGGGTCTCCATTCGTCCCCAGTGCATTCGTCAGAGCCTTCGTCAGTGTAAACACCGAGCAATATCGCCCTCCACTGCCTGCGCCTTCTTTGTTGATGACCCAGTCCCATGAGTGGTCCAGCGTGTATGGTCCTAGGTGCAGGTCTCCTTATCGCAATCGTTTCTTTGATCCCTCTTTCCAACGGAGAAGGCGTGGGCAGTAGAGGGTGATATAGTCATTTGCTGCCCGCAGATAAACGGAAATGACACCACCACCATCTGCATTTGCTCTGACAAAGGCTTGCAGTAGATGACGAAACGTGTCGGCAAAGATAAAAACAAGCTCCTTTAGCTAGAAACACCCACACGTTTACAGAAAGATCATCAAAACATCAGTCAGCCTGAAGAGCCAAGATTCAAACCTGTTTATTGTGAGTCAGAAATGTGAAATTACAGTTAGAAGTGTTTCCTGTTTTCAGAGATCTAAATTACTCAAATGTTGCACACTGATGGAACAGACGGTCTCATTTAGAGACAAATATAGAAACTTGCTGTTTTAGT